AAGAATTGATTGGGGCATTGAAACCTAGAACGGAACTGATTCCCACCAGTCCGATTCATGATTCTACCAGGAACCATGCTCACCCCTAGTTGATACATAAGTGGAGATTCGACGACTGAAAATTTATAAAACACTCTAATTAGACATGGCCACGGTTTGGAACCGGCGGTTCCGGTTTGTGGCCATGTATGAACCGAAACCGGCGGTTCCGAGCCGGTTCCGGTTCCGGCCTTGTTCGGAATCGGCCGGTAAAAATTAAAAAAATAAATTATGAAATAAAAAAATAATGAATTATCAAATTATGAAATAATGAATTATTCAATATAAAATGTAATCAAAATGTACATTGTAATCGAAATGCATGTTCCGGTTCGTGCAGGCCCTTCGGCCACAGGCCGGTTCCGGTTCCGAACCGCGGGCCCGGTCAATGGGCCGGTCCCGGGTTTGACCCGGGCCGAAACCGGCCCGTGGCCATGTCTAACTCTAATCACCAAAAACACATAAATTACAAAGGCTCAAACCCCGAGTCAAAAAATTCTCACTCATCTCCACAAACCAGCTGCTATAATCTTTTGCCGATCTTCAATTTAGAGTTTCTTAGAAATGCTCTGTTGGGTTTAGGTTGAAGAAGGACATTTAAATGATCAGTTTGAACTTTGAAGGGATCGAAGAAAACAATCTGGCCACAAAGACCGGTCTCATTGTTGACGAGAGCTTGCTCGTGGGCGAATTTGAGTTCAAGCATTGAGGACGACAGCGAGGAGGATGACGAGCAAATGGCTTACACCTCCAAGCTTCGTCTTCCGCTGTGGCCATGCTCGATCATGAGCACACGTGATCTAGGTCTCAAATCAAGCACAATCATCGGATCTCAGACTGCTCATGCTCGATCTGGGGCTCGGATTGACCTACATCTGATGACGAAGGTGCAGGATTGGCTGTCGAGGGCGGTGGCGGACGATTTTGAGGACGTCGATGGGGAGAGAGTAAGGGACTTTGGAGGAGGAGATCTGCAGAGTAAGATGGAGGCGTGAAGAAGACGATGAAAAAAAGAGAGAGAAAGAAAAGAAAATGAGATTTTTTTAAGAAAAAATACTTAGATGAAAATAATCCTGACTGTATATAAGTTTTTAATGAAGAAAATAATGATTTTACCATTCTCAAATGCAATAGTAGTTTACTAACTACATTTAGATTTTACAATCGGATCATTCCATTGTATCAACTTAATAATGACATCATAGATCTGACAACTCTCGTATTCAATAGGACATTAATTTGACCGTCGTAAGTTCATTGAGTTGTTGGTAACTTTGCTACACGGCGGGCTTACGTTAGTAAATTACACAATTTACTAGTAAGATTTGTTTCCAATGGCAAACAAATAAACATATTGATAATTTCGATTTGATAGATGTTATTGTTTCTTGGGTTGGTCACATACATATGCAAAAGTAAGCATTTTCAGGTAATTAAGCTACCAATTTTTTCAAACAAAAAAAAAGGTAAACTACTAATTGTATTGATAAGTTATAAACTTCAATATACAAGATTTTATTTCCAACTTCTATAACTTACTATTGAATTGAATTTTGGTAAATTCCTTACTTTGGTCGCTAACTTATCACCCTAAATGGCGAGCCTACCTTGGTATTGTAAATTAGTAATTTCTCCAATACATTATTACCATTTATTGTGGATAAAAAAATTTATTGCGGGAAAAGACAAGATTTGGACGAGATGGGGCCTATCTCTCATTGTTGTTGGAATGTGTTGCGACTAACAATGCTGCTTAGAATGGGTCGAATAAGTTGATTTATAAAATCAACAATTTTTCACGGAATAGCTCAAGTTAAGTTCTTATAGGTGTTTTCTAACTCATATTTTTTATGACTGGGTTATACACGGGTTGTAAATATCTAAGGGTTAATACCACGAAAAACCCTAAACTAGTACACCTGTAATAATTTTATCCCAAATTAATTTTTTGATCACTAAAAACCTAAAACTGGTACACCTGTGACAAATTTACTCTTAGTTTGTTTCCGTCAAATTTTATTGTCAAATTGCTTTGTTAAATGACACGTGATAGTTGATTGATGTACCATTTTTATGTTTTACTCTTTGTTTGTCACAGTCTCACGGGTATACCAGTTTGTAATTTTTTGTGGTATTAATCCAATTTATTGGAAACTAACCGAGGGTAAATTTGTCACAAATGTCCCTGTTTGAGATTTTTAGTTGTCAAAAAATTAGTTTGGGGTAAATTGATCACATGTGTACTAATTTGGGGTTTTTCGGGATAAAAAATTAGTATGAGGTAAATTATTACATGTATATCAGTTTGGGCTTTTTCGTGGTATTAACCCAATATTTAAAAGGGCCGGCCTTAGATTGAGGCTAGTCAGGACTCGGGAACCATCCGGCGGTGCATCATTGGCACGCAACCAGCCAGATCTACCCCCTCTTCGACTCCATATTCTTCTAACTTCACTTCTTAATCGATCGCGAAGGTACGAGAGGAATCGCTTCTTTCTTTTTCTTGTTTTGGCTCTTTTGCTGGAGTTATGTGGGTTCAATTCAGTGTCGTGGAGCGGTGATTCAAACGTGGTTGCTTGTGTTACTCTGTTTCAAATGTGGTCCCATGATGATGGAGGTGTCGACCTCGTCTTCCTCTCCCCTCTCCATCCCTCCCCCTTCCCCGCCATCGCTCCCTATTGCTACGAAGCAAGATGCCTCCCGCTCGATTGCTTGTCTCCACCCATTTGCTACCTCTTAGTTTGATAGATGCAAGAACAGTTTGATAATATCGTATGCAATATACTTCTATTAGATAAATAATGTAATAAATAAAGATACGGAAGACAATGCACGCAGAGGTTCGGCTTAAATTAAGCCTACGTCCGTTCTCTTAGACTAACATTGATCAATAAACTAGACTAGTAATCTTGTGAGTAGGTACAACGAAGCATTTGGTACTTCTACCAAAAATTGATAGATCCCACTATCAATACATAAGCATTGCTCACACACTTGTACACTCCTCAAAACAAAGATTACAAGTGAATAAAATCATGCTCGCAACACAGTAATAACAACTCTTAACATAGGAGAACACAAGTGAATAAAATCACGCTCGCAACACAATATGAATGTGACTATACCAATGTTTGTAAATTTCTCAAATTTTCGTTATATATTATCCATTGTGAGTTGACATTCTTGTATAGGCTTCAGTTTTCAAACTAGCCATTGAACAACTTTCAAGAGGATCAATTTGTTGTTAGAAACGATGGACATTATCATCGAATATTTAGTCGTCTATACAATCAAATCTTCCTGATTATGGTGAAGTTTCCTCAAATAGAGTCAGCTATTCTTGGTAATAGTCCTTTACCCAAATAGGTAACAACCAATTAGATTTTGCTTCAAACATTCATCTGGAATTCCAGGCCTGAAGCTAGTTGTTGATTCCTTTAAACCTACCATATTCGTCAAAGGAATATCTGGGTTCTCTTATCCAAATTGCGTACACATGTGAAAAAAAATTTTCTCCACAAATGATATAGTGAGGTGCTTCTATACGCAATCCATTAAATCTATTTAATCTTCCCGCTGTTAGTTGACTCACGTACGATTGTTCATTTGGTCTTCTTGAGTACACTAGTGTTCTAGACCTCACTCAACTATTTACCTTATCACGGTACCTCCAAGTGTTCAAGAACTTCCCGTTCTTCCTAACTTGTTCTCCTTCTATCAAGGTTCATCTAGCTTCTATCAATCTTCTCACTTTGTACTACGGATTCCGTCTATCAAGGTTCATCTAGCTTTTATCAATCTTCTCACTTTGTACTTCGGATTCCGTCAACAGAAGATAGATTATCCCTTATGCCAATATTACCTAAAATAAGACAACATATGTATTTATTAAATAATAATGAGAGATAAATGGTTTTGTCAAATAGGATGTTTTTTCAACATAATGTTTGGTTTAAGGTGTCAATCTTGGACCAATCAACCAACCACCTGATTGGCCAATACATTGCTAACTGCAACGGTAAGATCATATTTCCAATGACAAATTTTTAAACAGCTTGATAACTTAACATTGAATATGGCGTTCGTAAATTCCTCAAAGTTGGTAATTTACTAAAGTTAAAACGGGCCAATGTTGGTAAGTTACTTTTTTGGATGTAAAAAAATTCCTTACTATGTTGGTAACTAACCAACCTGTAAGTGGACCTAGTCAGCAAGATACCATTTTCATCGCTAAAATTTTGTTTTGAGTGGTAAATTCCTACATGAGTAGATAAATTATAGGGTTAATACCACGAAAAACCTCAAATTTGTACACTTGTGACAAATTTATCTCAAACTAATTTTTTGACCACCAAAAACCCCAAACTGATACACTTGTGACAAATTTACCCAAAATTAATTTTTTGACTACCAAAAATCCCAAACTGGTACATTTATGATAAATTTACCTTCCGTTAAATTAGATTAATATTACAAAAAGTCACAAACTGATAAACATATGACAAACAAAGGGTAAAACTTCAAACTGGTACACTCGTCAACTGCCACGTGTTATATTAACTCAGAAATTTGACAGTAAAGTGTAACGGAAACTAACTAAGGGTAAAATTATCAAAGATGTACCGATTTTAAATTTTTTGTAGTATTAACCCTAACTTATATTCTACTTGAAATGAATAATTTCCTTACTCCAGTGGTCACCTACTACATTAAAAGCGGCACTATGTTGGTCAAACATTAATGTCGCAAGAAAATTACTATTTCATCGTCAAGTTTTTGTTTTGAGACGCAAATATTTTCAAAAAAGGTATAAATTACTATTGCATTTGACGTTCGTAAGTAGTGAATATTATCGGTAAATTACCAACAGGTTGCCGGTTAAACGATTTTACCCAAAGGATTTGAAACTTACAAACCATTTAAGAAAATTACCACACACGGAATATGGTTCCTGGCAGAACGGAAACTGAACTTTGTCTTTTAATACAAATAGAGGTAGAGATAACAAGAATTGGCCCCGCACACAAAGGAAGCTACTTATTGACAGGAACACCTTTGACCCTATTTATCCTCATTCATGAAGGAGACCAACTTCTTCATCATGTTCACAGCATTATCGCAGCTAGGATTAATCAAATGAAACACGTGATTCTCCCCCGGTGCTTCCATCACTTCCACAACTCCACTCCATCCGCTCTCACTCAACACCTCCTTGTAATACCAGCCCCTCTGTCTCAACATATCCTTTTCAGCAACACAGATTAGAACCCTGTTGACACCCAAACCCGAGAGCCTTGGGTCAGTCGCTGGGTTCATTAGTGGGTCGTCGCACCCGGTGGTAGTCGGTTTCGCCGCGTGCCAGAGGTCCCTGATCTTGGACCTCTTCTCGGGTTCGGTGGGCTCCAGAGGCAATGGCTCTTCGCCCCAGAAGTAAGGATGCACCATAATAACGCCTGGAAATTCGACTCCACTTAGCTTCTCCTCTCCAAGTCGGATGCTCATGTTGTGAACTATGTTAGCACCGGCACTATCTCCAGACATAAAGACCTACGAAGAGTTTAGAGAATGTTGTATTATTCATGTATGCACATTGCTGAGCATGTCTGAGGATGCTGTGATGAATAGTTCACAACAGGAAATTATTTGGCCATCATAGACATCAAACATTGTTTTTTGAAACCACCAAAATCGAAAGACACATCCAAGTTTTCGTCCAACTGTTTTCAACTGTTTGAGAAAACTCATGAGACCGGTCGATCGCTAGATAGAATAGCGAAACATACAATCTAGCGCCTACGATAGAACTATTAACCATCGTTTCATTATAAATATATTTTAAGAACAATTTAGCAACAAATTTATAGTATGGCTTATTTTTGCTTTTGGCTTATTCTTCTAACTTAGAGTTTGAAATAGATTTTCTTTACTTTTTCAGTGCTGAGAACCTCAAATCTTTAAAATTCGTAAAGAATATTATCTGCAGTGGCCTCACTATTTTTTCATAGTATTCTACAATTGAAGCTGACCTTGTTGTAACATTTATTTTGGAGGCAAATTCAAACGGGTTTTTTTATTTGGTTTCAAGCTCTCTTGATAGTACGAAGGCAAAGATAATGGAAAACGGGTTTTCAGAGAATCTGTGTGGAACAATTTCTTCACAATAACTATTTCTATGAAAAACGGGTGTTGTAACTCTTAGAAGATGTTTGACAAACTTCTCATGACTGTTAGTAACCTCAAAGCTGTCGCAGTCTATAGTAGGGGCACGGGGCAAGGGCACCGGCCCGATGGGTCGGACTTGCCCCGTGCCGGGCACGAGGTGATGACAGGGCAACGACGGGGAAAGTTTTCATTTCACGGAACGGGAATGGGGGACGCGATGCCCGTTCCCGCCCCGCTTCTTGCCCATCACTAGCATACAATAGCTTTTAAATAATCGCCTCACCCAACTTTGCTGGATTGTAATTCTAAAACACATATCACCAAAAGCACCAGATATAACAATTCACTGCGCAGAACCGCTATGTTACAGCCACAACTATACCAAGCACATGTTAGATCTATGTTATGAGTTCGGACGTCATATCTATTATACATCTGTCAATACGTGATCTAAGTAAAAAATGAAAGAACAATTACGATTACCTTCTTGAGATCGGCATGAGAATTCAACCACTCCTCGGGGCCGTTCCCGGCGGAATGAGAGGCCACCCATTTGAGGGCGGTCCACGAATCATCATAAGCCGCCGGAAGAGGATCCTCCGGCGCCCTTCTGTATTCGACGGAGACGACAATGATGTTAGCCTCCGCGGCGAGGGGATTGAGATAGTTGTGGTAAGTCGGCGACCATGCCGTTTCGATTATGAACCCTCCCCCGTGAAAGTACACGAGCACGGGGAGCTTCTGGAGAGAGCCGACCACCGCTTTAGGGATGTAAAGCCTCGCCGACACGGCGGGGTCCGACGAAATGGTGACGTCCTTCGACTGGACGCCGGTTTTCTCGTCGAGCGACGCAGGGACGGTGGCCGTGCTCATGAGTCTCTCCACTCGGCCATCCTTGTAAACCTTTGCCAACGGAGACAAATCATTGACCACTTCGGTTTCCATGAAGTGTTTGAGCGAAAGAGAAGCAAGACTGAGGAGAAGAAGCAAGAGAGTTAATCAGGAGTTCAAGTCCGAGGCTGTCTTCTTGCAGTATTTGCTGTGTTTTTTTATATGCCTCGACATCGTCGTTAGTCTTCTTTGTCATATGCGGAAAAGGAAGAATTTTCATGCGTTGGTTTCGTGCTAGCTGCGTTTGATGTGATGGCCACGGTGTAAGAAATCTGGCAAGACATTTTGTCGGGAAACGTGATATTGACTGGGTGAAGAAATTTGACCAGAAATATTGAGTGGATGAGAAATTTGACAGCTCGGCATTGAAATTTTTTGCTTGTCTTTTGGCTAACCAATGTGGGATTTTTTCTGGTTTCACTGTGTCTTTGGTGAAGCTTCCATTAATGCTTCCCATAAGAAGTCGATTGTGATTTCCCTTCTATGGACATATCCGAAAGATATGAAGTCATGCTATCCTCATATTAATTGATATATAGTATAATGTAGGATAGTGTAATATGGCCTACTACCCTAAAAAAATCTAAACTTTATGTTTGATCCCAATTGTATCCATATAAAATCCTCAACTTTAGGTATAGTCCCAGTTTATCCTAATCTTTTTTTTTTGTCTCATAAATAACCACTAACTTTTATTTAAGTCCCAAATTTGCCACCGTTAACCCTCCGTCCAAAAATTCCCTTGACAACCTAGAAATGAAAAAAACTCTCGAGTGTGAGTCCTGAGTGCGAGCACTTCAACTGCAAGAGATGGAAGACTCTTGAGCACGAGAGATTGAATATTGAGCACGGGAAAAATGGAAGGAAAACTCTCCCAATAGTAAGAGTAGTTGAAAATGGCCAATCCTAATTGCTCTAATTTTTACTCAAATTTCAGATTCAAGAAGGCGTCGTTTGGGTTGAGATGGAAATTCATTATCAAATTTTTTTTTCTTGGATTTGAAATTTGGGAAAAAACTGAAGTAATGACATGGAAATGCCATATCAATAAGGATAATAGTAGACAGAGTGTTAACAGAGGCAAATATGAGAATTAAGCAAAAGTTTGTGGTTTTTTATGAGACAAAAAAAATTTAGGGTGGAATTAGAACTATACCTAAAGTATGTGGTTTTTATGAGATGAAAAAGAGTTTAGGGTAGAATTAGAACTGGATCTAAAGTTGAGGATTTTTTAGGGTATTAGGCCAATGTAATATAATACAATATAAAATAATTAAAGTAATTCATAATTTAGGAGTTTAATTAAAGTTAAGTGTAGAAAATATGTTTCGAGTTTGAACGCATAAAGGAAAGTTGATTCAAGTAGATTTACTTGATCGAATAGGTTTCCTAATTTGAGTAGGTTTCTTAATTAAAGCTTCTTATTTGGATCTAATAGTTATAAGTATGTGTTCCTCAAGTGGAGAAGTGAGAGACGGCTTCTTTTGTCAATTACAACATGAAACAATCCCAAAGTGTTGAAACCAATTAAATTTTGTGGGTGAGATTGTGAATTCTTTTGTGAGTTTGAGAGGAGTTGTGAGGGCCAAATATTGTGTGAGTTCTTCGGATAATTGAGGGTTGGGATGTAAAGTCTTGTGGACATGATGGAGCCTGTTAAAATGGCAACGTCTTTCGATAGGACGCCGGTTTTCTCATCAAGCAACAATGGGACGGTGGCCGTGTCCAGGAGTCTCTCCACTTGGCCATCCTTATAAATCCTTACCAACGGAGACAGATCATTGGCAACTTCTGTTTCCATGAAGTTTTTTGAGTGAAAGAGAAGCGAGATTAATATATGAGTAGAAGAAGCAAGCGAGTTAATCAGGAGTTGTACGTATTGCCTTCTTGCGTTATCCGCTGTTCATTTTGATATGTCTCCATATCGTCGTCAGTCTCCCTTGGTCATATGCGGAAAGGGCGAATTTTCATACGGTGGTGTCGTGCTAACTTCGTTTGATGTGATGGTGACAGGGTAAGAAATTTGACAAAGATATATATTGGGAACCGTGACAATGACTGGGCCAAGAAGTTTATCAGAAATATCGAGCTGATAAGAAATTTGACAGCTCAGCATTGATTTTTTTTAATTAATACCATAAAAAATCTTAAATTCCGTGACAAATTTATTCAAAATTAATTTTCTAATCATTAAAGACTTCAAACTGATACATTTATGATAAATTTACCTTCCACTAAATTGAATTAATACTACGAAAAATCACAAATTGATATACTTAACCTCAAACTGGTATACTCGTTAACTATCACGTGTTATCCAACTTAAAAATTTGATGATAAAATTTAACTGAAACTAACGGAGGGCAAAATTGTCACAGATATACTAATTTGAGATTTTTGGTAATCAAAAAATTAGTTTAGAGAAAATTTATCACAGGTGTATTAATTTGGATTTTTCTGTGGTATTAACCATTTTTCTTCTTTTTGGGTCTTTCGGCCAACGGATGTGTGATATTTACTTGTTTTCATCTTGTTCAACTTTTTTAAAGGATTTTTGGAGAAAATTTTGGATGTGCGGTAAGTTTTTTTGGGACTTCTTTGGCTGAAATGCCGATCTTGACAAAGTTGAAAGCTCAAGATAAGTTGGTATTTTCGAAAGGCCACTTTCATTAATTAATGAAATTTGGCCAATTGCCTTTTTTTACCCTCAAAAGCTTATTAAGAAGTCCAATTTTGCTCCTACCAGAAAAATAAAACCCGACTTCTCATCAATCCCGCCTCTTATCTCTAGACTGCTCCTTTTGCTTTGCTCTGTCTTGCTTGACAGCTCCATTCGCTTCGCTCAGTTTCTCATCGATCGCTCGCTCTCTCACTCGCCGGTAGATCTGCTTTTGATTGTTTACATGCGTGCTTTTCGTGGTCTCTCATTCTTGTCTGTAATGTTTGCCAAATTGGAGTGGCTTGTGCTTAGTCATTAGTCGTGGCCACATTTGTCCTCATTCACCCATTGTCGACGTGGTGAAGTTTAAAACCCCCGTTTTTGCCTCAAGCATGAACAGATTTCCATCCTAAATATTTGCTCTGAGATTATGTCAAGATTCATAATAAACCCTTTTTGTTTTGCTTTTAAAAAATATGAATGATGGCCCCGCCAAGTTTCTTGCTTTAGTCGCTGGAGGATCTGAGTATGTGGAGGATCTATTGATTGGATGAGCTTCTTTGGATGATTATTTCTTTCCATGTGTGGTGTTTTGTGAGGTGTTTTTTCGTGGATTGGATGGGGATTGCATTAGGTTATTGGGTTCGGTTATTTTCGTTTTCTTTTGGTTGCGTTGTGATGTTTGAGCTGAGAAGTTGGTATTTCAAGGGGAAATGTAGTGGATCGGTCCCAATTGAAAGTGAGGAGCCGGAGTTAACTCATGGTGATCGTATCTTAGGGCCTTTGATATTGCTTATTTGTGTGTTAAGTAATACATGTGTTCATTCAAATTGGTCTATGGTTAATCTTGTTTGTTTGTGCCTCTCAAATTTGTTTATGTCATTTTACTAGTAGATAGCAAGTTCATAAAAGGAAAAGGCATTTTGAAGCTTGGAAGATGTAAAAACCTTTTGTTGGAATGGGCGGCATACATCCGGATCTTGAAGTTTTGTAATTAGAATATTCGTGATATAGTTGCTAATGGAAGTATCACATGGAATTATATATAAGGTTTATGTGTTGATGATGATATTGTGGCCACACAACTGCATATCGGTGATGGTGTAAGATCTACTGATGATAATATAGAGTGTAATGTAGGTGAAAAGATTGTTGAACCAATTGAGGCTTGAAGTCATAAAAGAGCAGTGCAGAGTTTAGTGAGGCAAGTTCAAGGAAAGAAAGAAAAGAAACCGACTATAGCTGCTAAGGATGTTTGCAATTTTTAAAGATAATGAATTTCTTTCCTCGGATCTTTTGTTATCACGTTTATCGTAATGAAAATACTCTATTTTGAGAGTCCACTTTTGATATGAATTTTTTTAGCCAAAAAAGAAATGTTATTTTTTTATTTATAAATTTGCTAATACATATTTTTAACATTGTTGTCAACATTTAAATTATAAAAGGTGCATACATTATTTGCTCCAATTTTAAACAAATTAAAAATTAAAAAAAAAACTTAAATTAATCACCCAAGGGGCTTTTCAAATGTGTTTCCACCAAACGGCATTTCTTTCGAAGTTGCTTCTCAAAGCACAACTTACCAAACACTCTTTGCTTTTCATGGAAACCTTTAGGCTAAATTCCTTTGCATTTCCCCAAAGTCTCTTGAAAAAGCCGAATCTTAGTCCCGCCTATCTATTTCTATACAACCCTAGTCATATTGGATAGATAAATATGATAAAGGCTTGACGGCCCATTGGGCCCATCTACGAGTCCTGCCAGTCTTGGACTCACCAGCATTTGGGCATGTTCTGTCTCGGACATGCACAACTTTAACTCTTGGAGATGAATTTTCACGTCAGCGCAAACGAGGTCTTTGTGAATTTGAAACCTGCATAAAAATTTGAGTAATTAGGATTGACTTTCTTCAATTACTCTTACTCTTAATAGAGTCTTCCTTCCATCTCGCTAGGGGATGTTCGATTTTACGTTCAGTCTTCAATCTCTCATGCTCAGGAGTCTTCCACCTCTTGCAGTTGGAGAGCTCGCACTCGAGACACTTAGCTTTGGAAACTCGAACAGCTCGAGCTCGAAAGTTTTCTATCTCTTGATTATCAACGGGAAATTTTGGATGGAGGATTAACGGGGATAAATTTATGACTCAATTTTTTATGAGACAACTAAAAGTTTAGGGTAGAATTGTGACAGTACCTCAAGTTTGGGGTTTTCTATGGGACAAAAAAAAGTTTAGGCTAGGATTGAGACTGGAGTTAAAGTTGAGATTTTTTAGGATATTAGGCGATTGAATTATAGAAGGTCTAGGCAAATTTGGGGACGATGTACACATTGGCACCGGTGATCTTACCCTTTGCAACTCCGATTTGGACTATGACATGAACCAATGTCATATGATACTTGAGATATGTCCCGATTGTCCGCAGATTAATACACCCATCCTTTGGCAGTGATCTTACGAATTTCTACGACGATATACAATGTACAA